ATTATTATGCTACAATTGTAGGCTCCCACACAGTCACAAAGCAGGGCTTCTGTCAGAATGTGCATCAGTAAAATCGCAACACTGCTCTGCTGAATAAAAGATGGTGAGGACATCGTTACTGCACCACCTCCAACTGTTGCCTGGGCAGAGTGGAGGGGCTCCATTAATATAGTCTCTCAAACTAATCTCTCTACACCTGGACCTTCTTCCTGCAGATGTCCTTTAAAGTTCTCTATCACTCTTGTGGTAGGTCTAAACTAGACTTTTTAGTCCTCTTTTAACATATTAATTAACCCAAATAAGTCAGTTCTAGAGCGGACACAACACAAAGCATTTGTTGCTACCCATGTTTAACCCTGGGCAGCCTAGGTTTAATTAATACGTGTTAAAACATGACTAAGTTTCAAGTGTAGACATACCCTTGGTGCTGCTGAGCTAGCTAGCTGTTCCATTGGTGAAACCAAGATTAATTACCATTTTGATCTATGGTACTTTTATACAGCCTCTATTACCGTAATATCTGGCACTGCACAATCTTTTAGAGTATGTATCCCCACAACACTCCTAAGACTACAGAGGTACTCATACCCATTTTACAAAGGGGAAACTGAGACACAGAGCAACAAAGGTCCAGATCATCACACGTATTTAGGCTTCTAACTTCCATTTATTTCAAATGAAGTTAGAAGCCTTACATACCTTTGAGAATCCAGCTCAAAGCGACTTTGCCCAAGGTCACACAATAAGTCTAAGGTGGAACCAATAATTGAACGCAGATCCCTCAAACCTCCAGTTTGCACCGTAGCCACGGGGCCACCCTTCCTCTCAGATGAGTTATGGTCATCTCAATTTCACAACCTGCCCAGTCTCTCTCTCTGGAAAGACAACAGTCTGTTGCGAATACACCCAACTGCTGGATCCCCATGCTTTATTATTTGTATTATCCTAGGACCTCCAGTCATGGACCAGAACCCCATTGTGCTAGTAAATATACAAGTTCAGGAGACGAACAGTCCCTGCCCCCAAGGTCTTACAATCTAAGTGTAAGATGAGAGATAACCGATGAATACAGACAGATGGGAGTACAAGGAAACAATAAGACGATATTGGTCAGCACGATAGGCAGTGGTCTCAGCACTCCAGCAGCCTACCCATTCTCAATTTTGTATAGGCCTTATGGCAAAGGACAGTTTGAAGGAGGGTTTTGAAAGAGAATAATGAGTTAGTTTTGCAGATGTTTACAGGGAGTTTCTCCCCCACATAGGCACAGGCTGGGAGAATGCACAAAAGTGGCTGTTTGAAACTTTAACAGTGGAATGGAATGGGCATTGGAACCATCTTGGACCAATCAGAAGCAGGAGTCAATCTTTTGATACTGAAGGAGATAATAGGTGGAAGCAGGATAGGCTATGAAGGGCCTTGAAAGCAAAGACAGACAATTTATGTTTGATGTGCTAGAGAAGAGGGAGCTTGTAGAAGGAGAAAACTCTTCCACCCTTTCTCATGCTGTTCCCCATCTTTACTCTTGGGCTTGCCCTCATTAGCTGCAGCAATTGTGGGCGTGTCTTTCCATAATTGACCATTTTTACAGTTGAGCAGCTGGGGTTGCTTTTGCTGTCTGTGGGCCAGGAAATTTCTTAACCCCTTCCTGCCTGTGTTTTGTGTGGGGATCACTGGAGACCCCTTCACCCATGGTTGAAGTGATGGGCTAGGAAAATGATCTTTGCAGCAGTGTTACATTCTGAATGAAGACACGTGGAGCAAGATTGCATTTGCCAAGGTCAGAAAAAAGGATATTGCAGTAATTGAGATGTGAACTGATGAGAACCTACCTGAGGGTTTTGGATGTGTGGATGGAAGGAAAGGCAATATTTTAGAGCTGTTATGCAGAAACAAGCTGCAAGACCAAGGACTGGTCTATGCTACAGAGTTAGTTTGACCTAGCTACTTTGCTCAGGGGTGTGAAAAATTTACCCCTCCTGAGAGCCATAGTTATGCCTATTACACCACTAGATTGACCCCCTCTTGAAGCGGTGAGTTTACAATAGCAACAGAAAAAGGAGGACTTGTGGCACCTTAGAGACTAACCAATTTATTTGAGCATGAGCTTTCGTGATGAAGTGAGCTGTAGCTCACGAAAGCTCATGCTCAAATAAATTGGTTAGTCTCTAAGGTGCCACAAGTCCTCCTTTTTTTTTTGTGCGAATACAGACTAACACAGCTGTTCCTCTGAAACCTGTCAATAGCAACAGAAGAACCCCTTCCATCACTGTAGTAAGTGTCTAAACTGCAGTGGTTCAGCTACAGCTGGCTGGTGCAGCATTTCTAGCATAGACATATCCTTAGACATAGCCTGGATGTGAGGACCTAGAGAGAGGTCCAAGTCAAAGTTGTTGGGCCTGAGTGACAGGCAGGATGGTGGTGTTGTCCACAGTGATAGAGAAAGGAGGTAGTCCCCTGGGTCTGGGTAGTGACTGGTCAACGGTTCCTAGCTCTGGGTCTCTCAGGCACACTCCCATGCTGATGTGGCCCTACAGTGTAATTCATGAGTGACTAGCTATAGCACTATTACAATATAGCTGGGAGCGATTTACATGCTGGAGCTGTGTGAGTAGACCAGGAGCGGTTGCTCTCACAGTAAAGCAGTGTAAAAGGCACCCCATGTTGGAGAATTGAACGGACACAGGTGTCTATCAGTCCAGATTGTACTCTGGGTAATGTCACACTCACAACCACCTCCTTACCTTACTGGGGATTGTGGTAATAAATTCATTATTGTGTGTGAAGCACTCAGATATTATAGTGATAAACACCATAGAAAAGTTAATTAGGAAATTAATAATTCTGTTTTCAGAGCAGAGTTTGAATAGTGTGCAGTAAATAATGCTTGGGGCTAATCACTGAACAACAGGGAGAAAACAAAATATTGAACAGCTTCTTATTAAGGGAACACCGTCCAATCCAGGCACTGAATGAGAAATGGGTCCTATGGAAAACATAGTATGTGATTGTGTAATTAAAAGATGTATCATAGTGCATGCACACAAAGGGGATGAATTAAGGTTGCACAGGCAAATTTAATTGCAGCATTTCCTAACTTCTGAAGGCTTGACTTTGCAACCTTAATAATGTTCTTTTAACATGGTTGTGTGTGTTTTATAAATATATATATATAATGCTATATTAGTAGTACAAAACACTGTAGTGCTCCTAGAAAAAGCTTTGGGTCAGTTCTACAGAATAGTGTAGTATTTTTTTAAAAGACAGTAGGATTTCATGCAAAATATTAGCATGTTCAGAGTAGAAAATATTTGAGCTGTCTTTTAAAGCACTTTATTCTTTCAATATCCTTCATTTTATAGTTAACTACTTCCTCACTGAAGCTTTCCTGCTGTGACTTGACCATAATCTAGGTGTCACAGGTCCCAATCCTGTTGCCATTAAAGTAAAAATGAGTTTTGCCATTGACTTAAATGGTAGTGGGATCTGGCCCTAACTTTAGTATCAAAGATTTGAGAAGCTCTGTACCTGACTCAATGTGTGCTCACTGATTTATTTGTGAAATTCCTGGTTGGGGTGACAGAATCCACACAACCCTCTTAAAGCTGCAGAGCAAGGTTAATAGTGCATCCTTATAGTAATAAGGTAGCAAGTGATAAAACAAGCTTCAAAATAAATGGAGAGGAAAAATACATTCCTGAGGGCTGGAAAGATATTGATTGTTTAGATAATACTTGCAAAAAGCTTTCCAAAAATTAATGAATTAATTCTCACAACACCCAGCAGTTAAAATAAAGTTCAAGCTGCACAAAATATTTGCAATGAAACATGAAGCCACGCAAAATTTGTCTGGTTTCATTTTTCATTAAAATTTGAACTCAGACCAAACCCATGAACCTTTTGAGTGAATCTGAGTCCTTCTGTTATGTGTATATATACACATACAATTCATGTTTTTTCCAAGTAGAAATTTGTGGATTTGGGTGAGTTTTACTTTGAGGTTTTGCATGCCTTCGTATGTATGAATTTTCTCATCACTGATGCAAAAGAAAATGTTAACAAAAGCCCTTGTAAGGTATAACACGAGTTTCACACAACTTTAGGTAATGTAATTCTTAGCGATCAACACTTAATAAATGGTTTCAGAGTAGCAGCCGTGTTAGTCTGTATTCGCAAAAAGAAAAGGAGGACTTGTGGCACCTTAGAGAGTAACAAATTTATTTGAGCATAAGCTTTCGTGATGGGTCATTACACAAACTAAAACTATTACCCCATGTTTATTCCCCCCTCCCCTGTTCCTCAGACGTTCTTGTCAACTGCTGGAAATGGCCCACCTTGATGATCACTACAGAAGGTTCCCCCTTCCCCCCCTCCTCTCTCCTGCTGGTAATAGCTCATATTAAGTGATCACTCTGGTTACAGTGTGTATGGTAACACCCATTGTTTCATGTTCTCTGTGTATATAAATCTCCCCCCTGTATTTTTCACTGAATGCATCGGATGAAGTGAGCTGTAGCTCACGAAAGCTTAGGCTCAAATAAATGTGTTCGTCTCTAAGGTGCCACAAGTCCTCCTTTTCTTTCTATTTAATAAATAAATACTATCTCCATCTTAGAAATGGAGTGTCCAACACATCCCTCCTCTTACACAGATACTCCATGCCCAGACAATTCGGTTTACAACAGCCATGTGTTTAAATTGATATGGGAGAGAGTTGCACGGGTCTACCCCAACTGCCCGCAATGAAACCTCCCATCAGAGATCGCCCCCCCCCACACACACATCTGTGTGTGAATGGTGGTGGGGAGAGCTGTACAGGATCTACCCCAACCGAAACCCCCTATCAAGGCGACCCCCTCTCCGAGGTGAGGTCAGTGCGCCTGAAGGATCAACGACCTCCCCCAGCTCTGGCCCCGCTATAAAGGTTCTGGCGGGCGGCGGCGGCGGCGGCGGGAGGGAACCCACGCGGCGGGAAGAGCCGAGTGTGGCGGGGCTGGAGGGGAGGCGGCGCGGAGGGAGGGCAGGCCGGCTGCGGGAAGCGGGGCTCCGCGCTGGGACTGGTTCCTTCGCAGCCATTTTCTGTCCAACCAAACAGCCGATTTGCGGAGGGAGCCAACCAGGGCCGCACTGGAGGTTTGTGCCTGGCTCCGGCCAATGATTGGTAACCGGTTCCACTGCAGGCTCGAATGAAATGTCCGTCTCCCTCCCCGGGCCCCGGCGCCGCCGCCGCGCCGCCGCCGAGGGGACCAGGAAGTGGGGAGAGGAGCCCGGGCCCCGCCAGCGCCCGCTCGCCTCTTTGTGCGGCCGGAGCCCGGACGGGCGGGGACGGAGCCGGTGGGGGCAGGCGGGGGGAGATGGGACCGAAGCGGAGCCCTCTCCTCCCCGCCACCGGCTCCCGCTGGGCCTGGGCTTTGGGGCCCGTGGCCCCTGCTCTGGCTCCATTTTGTGGGCCCGGGCGGCGGGAGCGCGGCTCCCCGGGCTGTTCCTGCCCAGCGCCCGGCCACACGCGGGGGAGGGCCCCTGCGGCGTCCCGGTCACAGCGCGGGCTGGGAGCCGCGATCCCCCTTTGCCCGCCTCCGGGATCCCCTGGCCGCGGTGCCCAGCAGCGGGGATCCTTCCCTCCCTCCGCCCCCCGGGCGCGTCCCCTTCGCTCCTTCCCCCGCCCTGTAGCGGAGCGACTTGGGTCTCTGCGGATTGGGAGCCGCTTGTGGGATCTTAGGCGGGGGCGACCTTTTCTGCCCACCCCCGGGCAGTCCCGGCCACCTCCGCTGAGTGTGCGGGAAGTCCGAGCCCCTGGTGCAGCCAGAGCTGCTCCCCGTCCTCCACCTCCCCCGCGCAGTTCCGAGTTTGTGGCTGTCAGTGCTGTGGGCTGGGAGGATGGCGGTGCTGGTGTGGTGCAGCATCTCGGTGATCCTGGGGTCAGAGCTAGGACAGCTAGTCTCCTCTACATCGGCACCCCGGAGTTAACCTTGCAGTCCTCTCACAGGCAAAAACCCCTTGAAAGCGCTCCGCATGAGTAAGGAGCGTAGGGTGAGGCCCTAAAACACCAGGATGTGATGAGAGGTTCTGAGTAACCAGGCAGGAGCATCTGATACCACAGTAGGTAGGCAGTGGCACTTCAGTTTTAGACAGGAAATAATGGATTTTAGTCTCTCTCTTTTTTTAAAAAAAAAAAACATACACAATTCTCAGAGATAAAATGATAGCATCTTGAGTCTGTGGGTAAACCTTCCCCTGAGGACTAGAAAGTAAGTGATGGGGAGAGGGGACTTTCCCTTCCTATAGGTGTGCCTTCCAGCAGCTACAGTTAATATGGAAATGACAGCTAGGCTTCTGAACAAGTTGATAAAAATAAACTTTTCTAGGGGTTTAGAAACTTGATGTGAACTTCAACCAACAGACAAAAAAGGGTGTCTGGTGAAGCAGGTTTGATCTTAGTTTAGGGGATTTTTGGCTGTGGGTGTAGGGAATGCATTACAAAACTTAATATTACAGTGTTTTCATGAAGTTTAATTCACAGAGCTTATTTAAATGTAAAGATTTTCCTTTTGTGTTGTAACTCAGGCACAGCTGTATTCAAGTGCATAAGAAGAGGGAAATGAAATTTATTAGGCTGACAAATCTGAGTGAAGTGCAAAAGTAACCAGTAACACATGGTGACTAGTAACCTAAATCTGAAAACATTTCCATTTTAAGAGAGAGACAAGGTGGGTGAGGTAATATATTTTGTTGGACCAACTTCTGTTGGTGAGAGAGACAAGTGCTCAAATTTATACGGAGCTCTTGCTCTGTGTAAGCTCAAAAGCGTTCTCTAATAGCCTGGGACCAACATGGCTACAACACTCCATTTTAATAATTGCTGTAAATTGTTTTACACACTTAAAATTTAAGGTGCATTATCCCCTCTTATGTGCTAGCCTTTGCTGCCATCTTGCAACAAAATCCAGGCTGTTGACACTGAGAGAGCAAAGTGCTGTAGACTGCCTAAGAATAACCTGGAAAGGAAAACAAACTTAAAGTTCTAGTAACATATCAAAAGACTAATACTGTATGTGACTCTTCAAGCTTGTACATTTTGTAGGCTACTCCAAAAGTGTAAAACTGCAAAGAAATTTAATCAGATTCTACTACTGCCCTTTTTTGTGGCCAAGTCTCACTTAAATGCAAGTCCTTGCTTCTGTAAATAAGATTCAATGTAGAAGGCTGTAGGACTGGCAGGGTTGTATTGATTCTTTAGGGGTATTCTGGTTTATTCAGTCATGGATTACAAGACTGTATCAGATAAATGAAGGCTGCCCTTCATCCTTGAATGTCTTATCATTTTATTCATAATGACCTTTGCATTGCTGACAGGAAAACATATTTTAAAAAGTTAATTGGGATGAAAAATGTAGTTTTTTTTTTTTTTTTTTTAAATCTTGCTTACTTATGCCTTACCTGACAAAAGAAGCAGTAGCCAAAAGGCAAGCAAGGAGCAGCTTGGGGTACTACCCACAGTATAGTTGTAGTTATATGTGCAAGAACTGTTTTCATGTGCAGCTGTTAGAATAGATTTCCTGAACAGTGTATACACTTTATCACTGTGCCAGCCAAACTCTGCTATATAATTATCTCTTCTGTATAGTCTGTATTGCATCTGTTTTAACATGTTAGGAAAAATACTATTTGTAATGCTCAGGAAAATCCAGGGTGGTCTGATCCTAAATCATTAATTCCCAAGATGGTATATCAACCACTTGTTGATGGTCTGAAGAGAGCTGGCTGGTTATGTAGTGTTGCCTGTTGGCATTTTGAGCTGCTAACTAGACTAAAAAATGCTAAAAATAAATATCCTGGTATTACCCTTCAATGTAAATATTTGCAGTATTTGCCACATAAATGATATCTGATTGCCAGTGGGAGAGGAGACTGTGATTGTGGATAGGGGAAGTTGTTCTACAGATCTGTGGCTGGCAAGAGGACAGTGGTCCATGAAACTCTACTAAGATGTGGGCTATGGTATAGAAATAGCTTTAATCCCTGACTTTAATCAAGACAATTTAACTGTTTTAATCAGGATTTTAAAAGGGATAAAATTGCTAATCTAATTTTTATTTAATCTTAAAATTAATTGTTGGGTATCAGATCTGAAATCTTTCTGTGATTAAGCAATGAGGTTATTGCCTTATTCAGAGTCTTTATTTTTAATTACCTTTTGTAACTATCTTCTTAGGATTAGTGCCAAGTAAAAACAGATGAAAGTTAAAATTTATTTACTAAATAGAGTTCAACACAATGTATAAGCCACAATGTGAGAATTAAACTGAATAGCTCAGCATGTTCGAGTATCAAGTATTGGTTGAAAATAAAACTATCCTGAATTAGTCTGGTAAAATTCTACTTGCTCTTTGCTTGAGGTGAAGAAATTATTTTTCATAAATAATGTGTGAAATATTTTTAAATATGATAAAGGAAGGACAAATAGCCTTTGCCCTGACTTAAAGTTGTAACTAATCTATGGGGGGGAAAGCCAAAAATAATGGATCAGAGTAGAAAATGAAGGATATTTTTAAGTAAAGGTACTAGGACAGTTATTAAAATATTAATTGAGTGTCTTTAAAACATTTCAGACTGTGTCTTCGTGCTTGTGCTGATTGAATAGATAGGACAGAGCACTGCTTATCCGTTTCAGTCTCTGCAAAAGTAGTGGAACTGCACAAACTTTCTTAAATAGCCTATATAAGCTCTGATTCTTTCCAGTTCACATCTCTCCTCCCCCCATGCCTGCTCCCTCGCCCTCCCTCCCCCCACCAAAAAAATTCAGAAACCCACAAGAGAAATCACGGAAACTGTGCCCAGTTCTTCCTAGTGTCCCCCACCACGCTCAGACCAAGCCACTCAGTTTAGTGGCTGTTTCAACAACAAGAAGAAATTTGTTGTTAGAGCCTTTCCATACTGCAACTGTAACCATGGTAGTGTACAAGTTAACTGGCATAAGGGGCTTCTGTTAGAACACTTTTTATGTATAGTGTGGAGGAGCCTACATCAGGGGTAGGCAAACTTTTTGGTCCGAGGGCCACAATGGGCTGTGAAACTGTATGGAGGGCCAGGTAGGGAAGGCTGTGCCCCCCAAAAGCCTGGCCCCTGCCCCTTATTTGCCCCCTCCCACTTCCTGTCCCCTGACTGCCCACTCTTGGGACCCCCTGCCCTAAACCCTCATCCCACCCCCTATCCAACACCCCCCCGTATTCTGACTGCCCTGACCTATCCACACCACCCCCTGACAGGCCCCCCGGGACTCCCACGCCCTATCCCACCCCCCTGTTCCCCAACCCCTGACCGCCCCAGAATCTCCGCCCCATCCAACCGCTCCCTGTCCCCTGACTGCCCCCGGGGACCCGCTACCCAACCCATTCACTGCCGTGCGTGGCGCTACCGCCACCTTACCATGCCGCTCAGAGCAGCAGGAGCTCGCAGCCCTGCTGCCCGCGTGGCTGCATGGGAGGGGGAACAGCAGGGGAGGGGCCGGGGGCAAGCCTCCTGGGCCGGGAGCTCGGGGCTGGGCAGGACAGTCCCGTGAGCCGTAGTAGGCCAGAGGTGGACAAACATGGAGGGAACCCCTTACAGCCTAGATGCTGAATAGCAGCAGTAAAACTGTCCAGTCTTGTCAGTGTCACTCTACAGCTCTTAGGGAAGGCATTGAGCATGTAAGCAGATAGAGATGCTTCAGATGCAGGAAGAACACAGGGCATCCATTCACAGGGTGCAAATGTATAAAGACTTTAAACATTTTAATAAAGTAATTCTGTAGAAATTGATGGAATAACATCCTCTCTCTCCATCCCATGCACATGCTTGTTAGGCAAAGTTTCTTATCTAAATTGATGGAGTGGACTATTCAAGCTTTTGTCTAGTGGTTATATTACTAAAACTCTAGGATTTTCAAAATTCAATGAATAAAGATGAAGGGGGAACCTCAGGATTTGGGTTAAATCAAGTGCAGCAACTGAAGAGGATACAGAAAGCTCAACAAACTTATTCTAGTCCCTTCCCTGCCAGTGCAGGATTATTGCCTATGTTGTTTGTTTTATTTTTTTCTTGTATGATATTTAAAACTAAACTAGGCCTGCTGCTTAACTTCCTGTGGGAGATCA